TCGTAACCTATTTTCGTATGACAATCGTTATTGACTGAATGGTTTTCTTCTTCTGCTGGGGAAATTCTCCAGCTTTAACTAAAGAGGATTGATATAACACAGAAGTTCACATTTCTAAGATTCTGAAGAAAATTTCCTGTTTCTTAAGAATCTGTTCAGCATTTGGAATCTGTCATTTACCGATCTAATTTATATATATATATATATATATATATATATATATATATATATATATATATATATATATAATATTTTTACGATTCCGTGACAAAGCATATTTCTAAACTGATTCAAATATACATAATTAACATCCTTTTTTTTCCTTAAGATAATTTATTCAACTCAAATGCAGGAACATTTGCATTAATCTGATTATATTTCATCGAAATTTGTATCAATTAAGCCAAATTTAATATTTCTATCTCTGCTTCTAAATCGATTAATTTTTACGATATAATGTTTTTTTCTTTTCATTTTAAATAAACTAATAAAACCCTGGAAAGACTTTGAGCATCGAATCTTTATCTTATACATCTATGAAACATGGATGACACAGGCGTATTTCACAAGTCTCTAACCAGAGAATTTGACAAGCTAAGAATACCGTCGCATTATTTTATTTTTTTTATCTCAGTCAACATGCAAAACCCTATATATATATATATAGAAAGATAGATAGATAGATAGATAGATAGATAGATAGATAGATAGATAGATAATGAATAAACGAGGATAGATAGATAGATAGATAGATAGATAGATAGATAGATAGATAGATGAATAAACGAAGATAGAATGAAAACGAGGATAGATAGATAGATAGATAGATAGATAGATAGATAGATAGATAGATAGATAGATAATGAATAAACGATGATAGATAGATAGATAGATAGATAGATAGATAGATAGATAGATAGATAGATAGATAGATAGATAGATAATGAATAAACGAGGATAGATAGATAGATAGATAGATAGATAGATAGATAGATAGATAGATAGATAGAATCGTTTCCTTTGCCGTTTATCAGGGAAGAAATAAGCCAGTTCCTGGACACGCTGGTCCAATACATGTCGGTAGGAAAACCGTACTTGTAATTCCCAAGTGGTTAAACATCTAGTTACTGACCACGCCCAACGTTGCTTGACTTCGTTGATAAGTTAATAATCTATGTTTCAACATGATATAGATGATAACTGGAGGTCATAGGCATGTGTCTAAATATTTCCTAGTATTATTTGTGTTTATTTTTGTGTCTTTACATGTGTATGAGATTATATAAATCTCATTTTGCTATATATTATGTCTACTTATATATATATGAAGAAATATAGTCTCAAGATGTGCTATATTTATCGGATAAATTGCTCAATATCAGTGATAGAGCGTGTGTAAATATAAAAGTGAACATAGAAGTCAACACTTAGAGGCGACAGTCTGTTTCATGCTATATGCAATCGTCAGGCCACTTGTCGTCTGATGATTGCATCTAGCATGAAACAGACTGTCGCCTCTAAGTTTTGACTTCTATGTTCACTTATATATATATATATATATATATATATATATATAATTGGATTGATGTGAGTTTGTGACCCTGTGTTTCACGCTATTTGCGATCGTCAGGCAAACTCTTGGAGTTTCAATGTGATAAGGCTATAAAATTGATTAATTAATCTAACATTATTGTAGAAAATAGTTCAACCGCGACATTAGTTTCTTTATCTGCCACTTGACTTGGGTGATTATGGCTTTCAAAATATTCTGTCTAATGCTGCACTTGATGAATTTTGTCCCTATAATATCCCGCATTCGGCCTGTGCTGTCATCCATCCACAGCCGGTAAGTCCATTATATATATATATATATATATATATATATATATATATATATATATATATATATATATATATATGAACACTTGGGATGAGCTTGCTACCAAGATAAACAAAATAAAAAATAGCTATATGGAAAGGGAAAACATATAGATATATAAATAGATAGATAGATAGATAGATAGATAGATAGATAGATAGATAGATAGATAGATATACTGAGCTCGCTATAAAATACATAAGAATTAACATGGAGAGATAGATTTGAACAAAGATAGATGGATAGATAAGAATTAACATACATAATTGACTTATTATGTATCTACCTATGTCTATTCATTATGTATCTAACGCTATCTCAGAATGCTCATTATCTATCTATCTATCTATCTATCTATCTATCTATCTATCTATCTATCTATCCTCGTTTATTCATTATCTATCTATCTACGTTTGTATTCATATCTATCTATTTCATTTCGTTGCGGACAGTGTGTACAGTGGAAACAGGGCGAAGAGTAGACGAGATTTCCCTCGCCATATTATGCGGAACGGGAATAATCTATCCGATAAAAACAAAAACAACAGCAAAAAACAATATAAATAATGTGAAAAGATACCTGGTAATTACAATCAGGGAGAGACATTTCTAAAAAGAACCATGAGGACAGAGGCGAATTGGAGCCGCTACAAGAAAGATGATTTGATTTTTCAGCTTAATTATATGTGTATGTTTTGGTGTGTTGTAGGGATGTGTTAATTTCCTAATATGGTTAGCACATTGTCGTCATTGATAATGGCTAAAGGTATAGCCGAAAGCGCTCGGAAATATAAAACATTTGGACAATTCTCACACACCCTTTGTCCAGAGAAGAAATAGCTCTTCTTTGAACAGAAGAAAAATTAAATAAAAAACTTAACCGTAGTACCTTGTCTGTCGTTTTTAACGAAACGTGCATAAACGAAGGATTGTTGCCTAAATATACAATATATATATATATATATATATATATATATATATATATATATATATATATATATATTAAATTTCTCTCCGTGACCAAAGCTAGTTGCCATCAAAAAAAAAAATCATAAAATCGACTAAATTGGTAACTGGAATCAACTGAAAAGGGATGTGAAAATTCATAACTCGAACACTGATCATAAAAAGGCAAAGTTCCTGCGAAATGTCATTAGTTTCTTTCATCAGACAACGCGATCAGAATGATAACTCTGCGAGTTCTTCTGGAAATAAAGTAAACCCTTATCAGATATGGAAATTCTTATCAGTTAGATTGCAATCTAGGTATATCTTATTTGTTTCGTTTTTAGGCATTTTTTCATTTATTCCATTTGTACACGCGGGTATCTGTTTTCGACGATTAATGTTTCTATCGTTTTGTTTTATCTACAGAACAGGAAGCGGTAATAAAACTATGGATTTGAATGACTGAAAACTAATCAATGGAATAGGAGGATAATAAAATTCCAAGATGGAACCGAGTTTCGACAAAGAAACGTAAAAGACAGGAAGACGGTAAGGGAAAGACAGCAAAAGATGGAAAAGACAAATGCGTAAAAAGATAAAGCAATATTAAAGTTGTTGCGGGTGACAGAGATAGCAATAATGAAGGGGAAATGTAAAAAAAAAAAAAGAAAAGAAAGAGAAACAGAAAAAAGTATGAGGGAGGAGAACAGGATTTGGAGAAAGAAAGAAAAACAAAGAGAAGGCGAAAGAATTTATGATGAAATTAGCTGTAGAAAGAAAGAAAGAAAGAAAGAAAGAAAGAAAGAAAGAAAATTTAAATTAAATGTATAAAGAAAGAAAAAAGAAAGAAGGAAAGAAAGAAAGAGAGAAAGAAAGAATGTGATGAGGAATAGCGAAAGAATGAAAAATGAATTGAAATGTACAAAGAAAGAAAGAAAGAAAGAAAGAAAGAAAGAAAGAAAGAAAGAAAGAAAGAAAGGAAGACGTCGTGAAATATTAAATTACATGTTGAATGTCACGGTGAAAGAATTAGATGAAATTAAATTTATAAAGAAAGACAAAAAGAATGAATGACGGAAAAAAAAGAAAGAAAGAAAGAAAGAAAGAAAGAAAGAAAGAAAGAAAGAAAAAATTGAAAAACAAAGAATGAATGAATGAATGGAAGAAAACGTGTTGAATAGCACGGTGAAAGAATCAGATGAAATTAAATTAATAAAGAACGAGGAAAGAATGAATAAATGAAAGAAAGAAAGAATAAAAGAAAGAAAAATGAAAAAGAAAGAAAAAATTAATGACTGAATAAAATAAAGAAAGAAAGACAGAAAAATGAAAAAGAAAGAAAGAATTAAAGAAAGAAAGAAAGAGAAAGAATGAAAGAAAGAAAAATGAAAAAGAAAGGAAGAATTAAAGAAAGAAAGAAAGAGAAAGAATGAAAGAAAGAAAAATGAAAAAGAAAGGAAGAATTAAAGAAAGAAAGAATAAAAGAAAGAAAGAAAAATGAAAAAGAAAGAAAGAATTAAAGAAAGAAAGAAAGAGAAAGAATGAAAGAAAGAAAAATGAAAAAGAAAGGAAGAATTAAAGAAAGAAAGAATAAAAGAAAGAAAGAAAAATGAAAAAGAAAGAAAGAATTAAAGAAAGAAAGAAAGAAAGAAAAATGAAAAAGAAAGAAAGAATTAAAGAAAGAAAGAAAGAAAGAAAAATGAAAAAGAAAGAAAGAATTAAAGAAAGAAAGAAAGAAAGAAAGAAAAATGAAAAAGAAAGAAAGAATTAAAGAAAGAAAGAAAGAATTAAAGAAAGAAAGAAAGAATTAAAGAAAGAAAGAAAGAAAGAAAGAAAAATGAAAAAGAAAGAATTAAAGAAAGAAAGAAAGAAAGAAAGAAAAATGAAAAAGAAAGAAAGAATTAAAGAATTAAAGAAAGAAAGAAAAATGAAAAAGAAAGAAAGAATTAAAGAAAGAAAGAAAGAAAGAAAGAAAGAAAAATGAAAAAGAAAGAAAGAATTAAAGAAAGAAAGAACGAGAATGAATGAAAGAAAGAAAAATGAAAAAGAAAGAAAGAATTAATGAAAGAAAGAAAGAAAGAAAAATGAAAAAGAAAGAAAGAATTAAAGAAAGAAAGAAAAATGAAAAAGAAAGAAAGAATTAAAGAAAGAAAAATGAAAAAGAAAGAAAGAATTAAAGAAAGAAAGAAAAATGAAAAAGAAAGAAAGAATTAAAGAAAGATAGAAAGAAAGAAAGAAAGAGAATGAATGAAAGAAAGAAAGAAAAATGAAAAAGAAAGAAAGAAAGAAAGAAGGAAAACGTGCGTAATGTCACGTCGAAAGAATTAGATGAAATTCGGTGTATGCAGAAAGAAAGAAAGAAAGAAAGAAAGAAAGAACGGGGGTGAATAGTGTGACCTGAACAAAAGCTAGGATTTCGAAACATACGAATTAAAAAGCTTAAAGACAACAAATCGAGAAAACCTACTATTTCGGAATCTTAACGCAGTCGGCTTATCCCTTTGTTATACGAATATATATGTAGGTAAATGACGCATCTGTAACCTAATGATGAAAAAAAGAATAATATATTTTGCACAATAAATGCCGTATTTGGCGACGCAAAATACGCACTCTTTTTCCAAGGAAATCTCAAAAGAAATAATCTAGCAGCATTTGTGCAAAATTGAGGAATTTAATCTACAAAACTTGTCCCCAGCACGCATAAACATAGGCTCTATTTTTACACAGCCAGTCACGTACATTTAGTCTGACTTTATAACAATATCATTTACTCAAACGATATTATTATTATTACTATTATTATTATTATTATTTCCTTCGATTTCTGTTGTAGAGCCATTTCCTTCCGGGTCCCAACCAGAGACCTTAGGTCAGAGATGACATCATAGAATTTTCTACTGAGCATTTTTGTAAAAAAAAAAAAAAGAAAAAATATCATCCTAAGATCAAACATATTTTACATCGATAAAGCCCTTCATAATGTTTGAGCGATAAATGTGTGTACAATTTTTTTGTATTTCTTTAAGGCATGGACTACCAGGGTTTCTTGTGTCTGTCGGATTCTTTTCCATTCAAATCGAGGGCTTCAACTACAACTGGAAATATTGCTGTACTCATGTATCACATTTTTTTTAGATTTCCACTTCAAGATCTTTGTATTTTGATAGGTTTTTTAAAGATCTGCAAATGATATATTACAGTCTACAGGAACGGTCATATCAATAAAAAAAAAGTACTTTTTGTTTTTGTAGTCTTTGATCACGATGTCTGGGAAATTAGCTTTGAATGTTCTGTCTGTGTGTATTGTAAAGTTCCACAAAATTGTTACATAAATGAAGACTGTTTGCTGCTAGTATAGGTTCTTGATTATTTTGATATCTTTCCCGAATATATCAAGGTTGCTGAGCAGTTCCAGCAGATTCTTGTGGCGTACTTTGTCGAATGCCTTTGAGTAGTCTATGAAACATTTAACTTATTGGGATGGCCAAGGACGAAATTCCAAAATCTGCGCAGTATATTGCGAGACAGGAATATTTTTGGGTAACAAAGAAAAGAATACTGAGCTGTTCCGTGATATCTGTTCTTCTTTACGGCAGCAAATGTTGGATGATTTCCTCAAAGATGAAGAAGAGACTCGAGGCAACAGAGAAGTGGTTCTACAAAGGTATGCTAAGGATATCATCGAGTGAGCGTGTGAGCAACGATGAGGTTTTAGAGAAGATGCAAACAAAGAGGAGGCTTGTACTTAACATCAGGAAGAGGCAGCTGAAGTCCGGGTCTGGATGGTGTTTATACCAGTTTCTTGCAGTTTCCTTCGTGGAAAAGTTCCAGATTTTTCCAGGGTAGATATTGGCCCACACTATCGTGCCGAGTTTTATATTCGGTGGGTGCTAATTCCATGCAACAGAATGATCAATTGGATTTGGGTATTTATCACAGAATCTGTCTAACACACTGTTTCTCTGTATGTTCTTGTTTATTTCTAGTTAGCAAGCATTAGTCCTGTGCAGCAAGAATAAAGCCTTTGGTTTCAGCTATTTAACCCTGCACTTCGTAACTACTGATCAGTACGGGGTTTATCTTCACTAAATTGTTTACTACAGGCAGATTACTGACAATGAAGAGTTTTATCTTGCTATCGTTTCCTGCATTTGGTCAATTGCATTTGCTTTCTTTTTTAGGCTCTTTGCCGCTGCCGTAAGTGTATTTATGATTTACGTGCACATCTTCACCCACTTGAATTTGTTGGCTTCCATTATTACTGAATAAAGTTTCTTTGTACGTGTTCTTTGACACAGATCATCATCCAGTTTTCTTTAGTTCCCAGGTATCTTTCAAGACCGACTATTTTAGTTTTTACTGTAAGACAAATGATCGTAAGTAATTGTGCCAGTGACTTTTGTCAGTACTAGCTGACCGTAGAAATATGTCTCAATACTTTCTTGTCATTAACAAGATGGCGACTACAGAAAAAATAAATCGACGTAACTGAAATAAAACGACGGTAATTGGAAAAATAATCTGGAAAAATAACATTACGTCTTCAGAGAAATACGAGTGCTTCAGTTATATGAGTCGAGCAAAAATGAATAACTTGTGAAGGAGTGGGGATATTTGACGTTCACCTGTACTACTATCTTGCTTTTTATAGCGATTTACGAAGCGAAGCTTAAATGTGGTGCAAGGTTTAAATTATGGAGTTCTTCGTGAGGATAGAACTCATTCAGTCGTAACTGATCTAGGGAAACAGGTTTGCTGGTAATTAGACCACATGGAAGTGCCCAACTTTACTTGTTCTATACAGTAATGCTTGCGCTGCAGAATCAGGCCAGAGATAGGACGAGAACAGTACGGGTTCGTTAAAGACACTGGAACAAGGAATGTAATATTCATGCTCCGAATGTTATCAGAAAGAGCGATACAAATGCAGAAGAACGTGTATCTATGTTTCATAGACTACGCAAAGGCTTTCGACAAAGTACGCCACAAGCATCTGCTGGAACTGCTCAGCAACCTTGATATATTCGGGAACGATATCAAAATAATCAAGAACCTATATTGGCAGCAAACAGCATGCATGTGCATAGGGAACAAGTTCAGTGAATATACCAAAATAGAAATGGGCGTAAGGCAAGGATGCGTCTTCTCACCCGACCTGTTCAACCTATACAGCGAGGAAATTCTGAGAGAATTGGAAACCCTACTGGAATTGAGCATTGGCGGCCACAATCTTAACAACATACGATACACAGATAACACAGTACTGATAGCAGCCAGGGAAATGAAATTACAAAATCTCCTACAGAAGGTAGCGACGGAGAGTGAGAAGAATGGACTAAATATTAACTACAAGAAGGCAGATTGCATGGTTATCAGTAAAAGGATGAGCCTGAAATGCGATTTGCAGGTTGAGAAAACTAGAATCAAGCAGACGCGGAAGGTTAAATATCTGGGAAGCGTCTTGACAGAGGACGTTAAGTGCGACACTGAGATCTGTAGGCGTATTGGGATAGCCAAGGACACATTCCAAAAGCTGGGCAGAGTATTGCGAGACAGGAGGATTTCATTGGTAACAAAGAAAAGAATAGTGAGCTTTTCCGTGACATCTGTTCTTCTTTACGACAGCGAATGTTGGACGATTTCCTCAAAGATGAAGAAGAGACTCGAGGCGATGGAGATGTGATTCTACAGAAGGATGCTGAGGATATCATGGACCGAGAGTGTGAGCAACGATGAAGTCTTAGAGAGGATGCAAACAAGGAGGAGGCTTGTACTTAACACCAGGAAGAAGCAGCTGAAGTTTCTGGGACACATAATAAGGTTGGAGGGGCAGGAGAATCTGATATTCACGGGTCGATTAGAGGGAAATAGAGAAAGGAAAACAACGCATGACATACCTAGCGGGTTTAAGCAAGTGGATGACAGAACGTGGTCTGTGCGAGGTGGCAGAGGGAAGGAACTTGTTGAGAGCGCAAAGGATAGAGGGAAGAGGAGAGCCATGATCGTCTATATTCTGAAAGGACATGGTGCATAAAAAGAAAGAATACAGTAATGATTTCAGCTTTAGTTAAATTATTTTTAATGATTTGTAGTGTCTTGGTCGCTTCCTTTAAATATTACTTGTTTAAATACACTGAAAACTTATTCTTGAATAGGCTTACGGACACATCACGTTGAAAGAAGTTAAGAAACGTCGATCCTGGTCAGTACTTAAATAGTTGACTTGAGAATACCTGGTGCTGTAATCTTGGTATTGTAGGTAGTGTAATGCATAATGTCTCTTAAATCTTATTTAAACTGAAAATATAATATATATATATATATATATATATATATATATTTGGTTGGATTGATGTGAGTTTGTGACCGCAATTTGTCTGACGATCGCAAAAGCGTGAAACACAGGGTCACAAACTCACATCTATCCAACCAAATATGTTAGCTCTATCTCTGATGTTGAGCGCTTTCTTATAAGTACCATATATAATATATAAATAATATATATATATATATATATATATATATATATATATATATATATATATATATATATATATATATATATACACACACACACACACACACACACACACACACACAAATACACATATATATATATATTTCGGATTATGAGAATATTTTAGATAATAATGATTTTCTGATGCAATACTTACCATTTAACCCATAGCTGGGAAGAGAAGAGGGATTCGAATCTTTTCGAGCCGTCATCCATTACACCAATCGCACATTCAACCTGCTATTCACGAGTGGACACCCATCTAGGTACTGGCCAGATTCAACGTTGCTTAACTTTGGTGATAGAATATGAGAAGGGAAGAGATTGTTTTCACTCAGTTGCCAACGTTGGTCTATGCTAGGAGCGCCTCCCCGAAGCTAATCATATCAAGATGTCAACTCCCTAACATACTGACCATTGGTCGGAAAGCGAAGGTTCTAATCGGCCGCACTGCCATACATTGTTAATGAGAATGTTATGCCGTTGAAATTTTATATTCAGAATTAAGGTAATTATTCTCTCTTCAAACTGCAGATATTGATCTATTTCTATACGCGGGGTGAGGGGAAGAATTTATCTCCCGTTAAGGAACCGTATGGAGAATTTCGATCAGAATTCTTCAGGAGGTCGTCATTATTTCATTTTATTCCTTTTTCTATTCTTTGTTCTTTTACTATTTTCGGACATTTCTGCTATTCGACGTTTTGTTGGTTTTTTTTTTTTTGGTTTTTTTTGTTTTTTTTTTTTTTGACGAGGCGTTGCCATTTCGAATATCAGTGGAGAAACTTGCTAATGCAGGTTGCACATTACACTAATTAATTTCGATAATTTTTATTCGGTTCCTTGTACGTCATTTTGGATGATCGACATTAGAAGACTTGTAACAAATTCCTTTTAATTTCGCAATCAATATTCATG